TTATTGTAAGACTATGCCATTTCCTGTTTTCATCTCCTGTTCAGCTTTCGTGATACTTGAACTATTTTTATTTCTGTCTTTCCTCTGCTCTTACATATTTATAATTGACAATATATTCTCTGTGTTTTTTAAAATGTGTGTGTTTCCGATACGTGAATGTACATGTGCATGTGCCTATGTGAATGCAGACATGTTTGTAATATGATCCACGTGGAGAAGTCAGAGGAAAGGCATGAGTGCTGTTTTGTAGCATTTCAGCATGTTGGTGATAGGGTGACTTGCTACCACGGCTGTACGCAGGATTGGCTGGCTGGCAGCCTTCCCAGGATTCTCCTGTCTCTGCCTCCCATCTCACCATTGGAGTACCATAGCTGTCAACGTGTGCTGCCGAGCTCGGCTCTACAATGGTTTCTGCTTCTCCAAACTCAGGTCATCCGTCCATTTACTACCAGTTATTGTATCCGCTGAGCTTTCTCTCAGTCAGCCATTCCAGCTCTGATAGTTGAGCCTAACCTGTGTTTTCTTTTGCAGCCTCGGTCTGCTTTTCTGTTAGATTTCTGTAAAGCTCACCCTCACACGCCGCCGCTTACCAGCAGATGCACACGCTGTGGAGTACAGCACATCATCAGACAGTCTTACTGTTGTGAGAACAGCATACAGAAGTCAGGCAGACTATGAAGCTACGATTAATAAACCGATCTGATCTAATGAGATATGGCCGCTATATTTGACCCAAATGTGGTTATGTGGTAGTTTTGATTTGCCCTTAACAGATTCTGTTGCTATTTTATGCACTTGTCTATGTGTCAAGAAAATATGTTCAACGAGTGTCTGCTGGTAGAGCAGTTGCCCCCATGGAGTTTAAAATGTCATGAGCCTTTATATAAGCTTTGGAAGATACTTTAATATGTTGGGAAAATGTCCTCCTCATTTAGGATTTTCTGGGTTTCCTTTACTGACATTTTTCTTCAAATAATGATCAAGAGTCATTTACTTATAATTGAATTCTAAAAATTGAATTACTTTGTGTGTGGAGGGATTTTGTCTGCATGTATGTCTGTGCACATGTTGGGTGATTGGCAAGGCCAGAAGAGGGTATCTGATCTTCTGAGACTGCAGTTACAGACTGTTCTGAGTCAATGTGTGGGTGCCAGGAATTGAACCCAGGTCCTTTGGAAGAGCAGCGAGTTAACCACTGAACTACCCCTTCAACACTCATAAACTGGAATCTAATAACAACTGGTACTGGTTATGCCTAATTGAGTACTTAATAGAAGCATTTGGTGGCGTAGATTTGGTTTCATACTTTTGTTTTACAAATCTCACTTTCCCTGTTCAAAACACCTCTGACAGTGCATACATCATTCCTCATACTACATAGAAATATCCTCATCTCACTGAGGGGAAAGGCAAAGGACAGTAAGGTATGATAGCTAATTTTATGTATAGATAAATAAATGCAAAAGCCTATCCAGTACTAAGATGACCACTGATGTCCTCTCTGAGTTTAAATTGTATTTCAGTTCAGTACACACCACTTTCCTGCTAAGATAAACCATGAGCTTTCCATTCAAGGTGGCAAAGAGGTAGACTTTTACTAAGAATAGATATTTAAGATGGAAAACAAGTTAATGTCTGCACAGTCTAAGTTCACACGTAGCTGGCCATCTTTCAACTTGCTGTATCCCAGTGTTGGGAAACAGGAGGCAGTTGTCTTCATGTTGATGCATCCTCAAGCTACTCTTCCAAGAGCGTTTGCTGTCTTGACATAGAGGTCCTTGTTTCTAAGCTGACTCAAAAAAGTCAGCAGCTAATACCAGTGCCATTTGGCTGTTAAGCTGCAAAGGATGGAGGGGAAGAAAAACTATGTATAAAGAGTGGAGTTGGTGTTTCTGTGTTTGCTGGTGCACATGAGAGCTGAGACACAGGTGGTTCCAGTTAGAAGTGGAAGCCATACTCTGTTTTTCCAGTGTGCCAACATAGTGTGGTATCTTGACAGCACTGTGAGTCATCCATTTCTATAAGCTATATCTTGTGTCAGCAAATAGCTCCTTGACTTACTGTCTAGCAACCATTTTATTTATAATCAAATAAAATCAAATACATATCTAATGTAAATGCATATACACATATAATTCACCTTTCAATTTTAATTTGTGGATTTCATATGTTTAAGGTGATATCAAGAACGGTATTTTATGACAACTTCTAGGTATGCATATCAAGCATACCTAGCTTAGACTATCATTCAAGCTTAGACTATCATTCCACTGTTTTGTAAATATCAAGTGCTATTTATTCCATTATGATTACATCCTTCTGAAAGCTCTCAAAACATTCTGTACCTATTGTAAAGTCAGCCTGAGGAACCCAATAAATCTTGCTATGTGATCCTGGTAAAATAGATATCAGCTTTCTTGGAATAAATCCTCTATAAAACACACACACACACACAAAATGTGAACAATGAAGAACTATTGACTTCCTTCTGGAGTTCCCGTGGATAAACTTCAGGTGGGCTGGCAGGAGAAGCTATCATAAAAGAGCCTCCTAATTTTCCCAACCCAGAATATTCCTCAAAGTTGAGAGAAGCTGCTATCTCATTCTAGGTATGGAGTCCTATAATACCCAGGTATGTTTATAGTCAGAGAAAAAAAAAGAATGACTAAAAGAGTCATTACAGGCACATCTGTGCTAAGCAGTCTGGATGTAGTCCTACTCTCCCCCTCAGGGCTAAGGTATGAGACTGAAGAAGAGTAAAGCAGGGAAAGACTCCTGTTGTAAAAGTCATCTGTTCCCCTCCACTCAACGTCTATCTTACACTCCAGGGACTTACTGCACAGTGCTCCACAGCCACTCTTAAACTTCTCTCTCCAGGATGAATGAAACCCAGGCTAGCAAGAGAGACATTTCAGAGCCTTCATAGCTCCTTGAGCATCAGGGTTGAGAGCTTTAGATTGTCTCTTCTTCCTGGCCCAATGTAAGTTGTTCACCCTTGTAAGAAAAATACTGTCATCAGAACTAATTCCTCGGAACGTACGATAGCGTGGATTGACATTATGGTAGGTGGGAGGCTGTTTTGAGAGCCATACTTTACTTTTATGCTCTAGGTTGTCCTTAAAGCCTTACTGTTCTTTGTCCGTGAATACTCAAAAGAATTAAATCTTTAGACCTATAGTGACAGGTGAAAATGATTGAGTCACAGGTTAGCCAAATATTTTATTTTCTAGGTAAAAGAATATATTTTAAAAATAAATTTTCTGTCTCTATCTCTATGCACATAAACACATATGGGCATATGAGTTTATAAATGCATGTTTATACAAAGTATATTGAGTTCATTATTTCCTAAATAATTTTATATAAAATATAGACTAAGTTTGTTTGTAGAGAGAGACTAAATTCTTGTACATAGAAGAAGGGGGAGATGAGCTGGAGCACTGTCTTTGAGTAATATGAAGAATGCTTTCTTTTAGATTTATTTTTAATTATGTGTATTTGTGTGTATGGACTTGTGCATGTGAGTGTTGGTACTCATGAAATATCACATGCCCCCTGCAGTTAGACTCACAGACCATTGTGAGCCTCCTAAAATCAGTGCTGGAAACTGAACTCAGGTCCTCGGAAAGAACAGCACATGTTCTTAACTGATGTGCCATCTCTCTAGTCTTCTGAAGGATTCGTAATCCCTCGAAAACTTTGAGGCTGCTTATGTCGTCATCAAGTGAGCTCTCTGATTTCAAGGAACAGAATAGGGCTTTCATTGTTTGAATGCTACATAAATACAGTTAGAAGGAAGAATGAACTTCTGAGGACTTAAGCCTGGCCTGATACAGAAAGAATGGTGGCTCCCCTACTCTGGGAAACTGTCCTCAGAACCCAAGCGTCAGCATGGCAGAGCAAGTGAATACACGGAGCCGATGGGTTTTACACTCATTCCCTAGACTCTCCTTGGAAACACAGCCCCTTCACTTGTAAAATGCAGTGCAATCAACCACCTCTTTAATATATGTTAGGAAAAATCGGGTCCTGGTAAGGTTTCTCCATAAGAACAGCGAAACTTTGAAATTGTGCCTTTTACATTATCAGCACTGAGGGAGATGGGAGAACGGGAAATGAGGGAATTTGCCCCTGGTCTGCACAGCGGTCTCTCTAACTGGTCTTTTTTTTTTTTTTTTTTTATTGGATGATTTATTTACATTTCCTATGTTGTCCCCTTACCCCATCCCCCACCACCCCCTCGGAACCCCCAATCCCCTCGCCCCTCCTCCTTCTTCTCTGTGGATGTAACCTCTATCTACCCCCCCCACTCCCACCTCCCCACCCTCAAAATTCCCACCCCCTGGGGCATCCAGCCTTCATGAGGTCAAGGTTCTCTTCTTCCACCTATGCCCAGCAGGGCCCTCCACTTTTACATATTCAGCTGAAGCCCTGGATCCCCCCCTAAGTGCTCCCAGGCTGGTGGTTTAGACCCTGGGAGCTGTGGTTGGTTGGTATTGTTGCTCTCCTCATGGTGCTGTAAATCCTTTCAGCTCCTTCAGTCTTCACTCTAACTCCTCTATTGAGAACCCCATGATCAGTTCAATGGCTAGTTGTGAGCATCTGCCTCTGAATATGTCTGACTCTTGAAGGCCTCTGAGGAGATATCCATATCAGGCTCTAACTGGTCTTTTTATGTGAGATAAGATTGTGGCAGCCATGCCTGTTCCACCTCTGTTGTTTATGACTGCTTGTGCATGACCTTAGCAGGGCTGAGTCACTGAAATGAAAAAGAAAGCCTGGGCCTCAACAGTGAATGTTGCAGTTTGCTTGCCTTGGTGTGGAGCATGAGTGTTAGAAGCTTCTGAGAAGGGCGGGGCGTGTTGCATGTCCTCTTAAAGAGGCCAGGAGTGAAGACCATCAGGGAGTGTGACTGTTGTCCCCGTGTGTGTCTTTTCCTTCCAGCTCAAGGTTCAATAAAGTCCCCCATTCTTAACCTTTTGGTCTCTTTCCTTTGCCAGATTCTGACTTGAGCATGCGCACATTGAGCACGCCCAGCCCAGCCTTGATATGTCCACCGACTTTGCCAGGATTTCAAAATGGAAGGGGCTCGTCCACATCTTCATCCTCCATCACTGGGGAGACTGTGGCTATGGTTCATTCCCCACCTCCGACCCGCCTCACTCACCCACTCATTCGGCTTGCCTCCAGACCCCAGAAAGAGCAAGCCAGCATAGACCGGCTCCCGGACCACTCCATGGTGCAGATCTTCTCCTTCCTGCCCACCAACCAGCTATGCCGCTGTGCACGTGTGTGCCGCCGCTGGTACAACCTGGCCTGGGACCCGCGCCTTTGGAGGACTATCCGTCTCACTGGAGAGACCATCAATGTGGACCGTGCCCTGAAAGTACTGACCCGCAGGCTTTGCCAGGACACCCCCAATGTGTGTCTCATGCTGGAGACTGTCATTGTCAGTGGCTGCCGGCGGCTCACAGACCGAGGGCTTTATACCATTGCACAATGCTGTCCAGAACTGAGGCGCCTGGAAGTCTCAGGATGTTACAATATCTCCAATGAGGCTGTCTTTGATGTGGTGTCACTCTGTCCCAACCTGGAGCATCTGGATGTATCAGGTAAATGGAAACTGACCTCAAAATCTGGGTACTCCTAATGTACCACCTCAGAGTAGTACAGATATTACTATCCCATACAGGGTCCCTTTCTTCTATTAATATTTATTGTATATGTTTTTTTTAAATGATGTGTATACGTTTATCTGTGTGTAGGTATGTGTATGTGAGTGCAGGTGCTCACAGAGTCCACAAGAGGGCACTGTGTCCCCTGAAGCTGGAGTTAAGGCAGCCAAGGACGCTGAGATCTAACCTAAAGTCCTCTGGAAGAGCAGTGTGCGCTCTTAACCACGGAACCATCTCTCCAGCCCCCAGGGTCTCCTCACTAGGGATATACAGTGAATAGCAGATAGGCTAACTGGTCAGAAAGTATCTCACTATAGAATCATAACCCTGAAGACCAGAAGTAGCCCTTGCGTTTTAATATCTGCTTCTTGAAGGAATTGGGGCACCTTGGTCCTGATAGTTTTGGTCAGTATACTTTAAATGTATCCTTGTACTCCAGAACAACTATGTATAATGGAAAAAATTCTAATTAAGGTAAATAGAAGTAAATAGCTCATTAAACAGGTAGTTCAGAACCTAGCTTTTGTATTTATCAAGCCTGTGAGCCACGGTAAAAGCCACAGCAATGGCCTTGAATGGCAAATCCTGAACTGATTAGTCAGTCACACGGAATAAAACACAGGCCTCGGAGCTGTGCTCATGATGGCTTGCCTTTCCCTAACCACTGAGGATGTTTGTCATGGTCAAATGATGGCACCCATTTGACTTTCCTTTGGGTTAATTTTCCAGCTCTCTTAAAGCGTGTTCTCAGTTACATATTACAAGGGCAGGGTCCATTGAATCCGACTTTTCATTCTTTTGAAAATGGAAGCAAATCCCAGTATAATTGCTTTACTTAAAAGTCTCTCTTAGGCAGGAAGAATTAAAGCCCAGAGTCAAACTTTGGCGCCAGACAGGACCCAGCCTGAAGAGCTGTATAGCACACGCACGAGCACACACACACACACACACACACATGCACATTTTTTTATCTCATCTGCTGTACAGTCAAAAGATGAAGATTCAAGAGGTTGAAATATGTGAGATTTGTCAGAGAGTTAAAAAAAAAAATCAGAAGCATGAGCTGTGACCTCGGGAATGGTTGGGGAAGGGTCAAGAAGTAAAACCCACTGTGTCAGGCAAATAAATAGAATTCGGGATTTACAAGAATCTGGGGTAAATGATGCCCTTCCCCCCCCACCCCCCCAAAAAATGGAGGTAAAACAGCTTCCAGCTTGTTCTGTCTTTTAGAAGCCGACATCTGAAAATATTTCAGCTGACGGCCCATTATTTTTGCAGATTCTTTCCCTGGCTGGAAAGCTGCTCACTGCTCTTCTACTGGAGCTGGCTTCAGGACAAAGCCGTCATTATTACTGTGTCTTCGATTAGTCATGAGCAGCCATTGGCAGACAGAAGCGGGAAATGCGGAGTCTTTCTTAAATTCTCCCTCCAAGGAACTCTGAAAAACACGGAACACTGGGATGTGGGAGATGATGACTAGTTTCTAAACTAAGATTTGAGACAATTCACTCAGCTCTTAGAGCAATGACACAATGTGTCTTCTCTTTAGCAAAGAAGTAAAATTGACAAACTCTTAACTATTCTGGTCATCTGAATGCTTTGCGAGCACTTCGTGGTGTTTTTCTCAGAATAGAACATGACTTGTTTGGAATTCCCAGCTTTATCCCAGCATGCTCCCAGCATGCTCCCAGCATGCTCCCAGCATGCTCCAGCATGCTCCCAGGTATTCTTCATAGAGATTGCAAGTAATTGTGGTCTCTTTTTTGAGGTCCTTTTGAAATTCTGAGATGGCTCGTGCCACTTTGGCTATTTAGGGATGAGATTATTTGATATTTCTGGCCTGTGTGGCCTCCTGCACCCCTTGACTATCGTTACTAATTCTTGCTAGTTGTCCTCAACCTCAGTGTCATTTTCCAGCTTATGTATGTTTGCATAGCTTCCTGACAGGCTGCCAGTAACGCCACAGATCTATACATCTATGCTGAACAAAAGTTGGTTTGTGACTCACCACCTTACGATGGAGTTTGCACATGGGTGGGTGGAGATGGACTTGAAAGGTTTAGCAAGTTGAACTTAAAGATGCATTTTTCCTCGGCACTTGCTGAAAACTTCTCCCAGTATGGCAATATGATTATGACCAAACAGGCCAGAAAGAAGCCGAATCTGCCCTTACTATTCATTGCCAACCTGCCTTGGTTTTAAGCTGGCTTCAGATCGTGGCTAACTCTCCAGTAACAGTAAACTTGAGTTTGAAAGTCTCATTTTGTGATCTAGATTTCAAATCCTCCAGAGGACATGAAGTTACCTGGCCCAAATTTACCCAGACAGAAAAGGCTCATTCTTATTATCATATTTTCAAATCACTGGAAATTACTATAGCCAGATATAGTATCCCGTCATTATCACAAATTACCTTTTATTAGTATTTTTTAAATAACTAGGATGTATTATAAATCAGCTAATTTTCAAAACACAAAATGTAATTGTCACAAGTAAAGTGACTTCAAAGTTATCTCCAACAGGATACCTGAGACCAACCTATTTTCTCCCCCAATCTTTTCCTTCCAATCCTAATTTCCCAACACCTTGAGTCCACGCCCTCTCTGCTACCTGCCTGCCTGCCAGCCTGCCTGCCTGCCTGACTGCCTGCCTGCCTGCCTGCTGCCTGCTGCCTGCTGCCTGCTGCCTGCTGCCTGCTGCCTGCCTTCTGCCTGCCTGCCTGCCTGCCTGCCTGCCTGCTTGCCTGCAGGAACTCTAGCTACATCAATTGGTCTTTTCCACCCCTCAATCCACACTCCATGTGTCCAACTTCTGTAGGACATTTTTGCAAGTTGTAAGCCTCAATTTTCATACATAAAATCTCCAATTGTTCTCCATCTAAGACTTCACTGAGATTCATGTTTCTCCATAACTCATGTAAAGCCCCCAAAGAGCACCCTTCCAGGATTCAAATCCTCATTCTTCTATAAAAAAAATCTACAGATCCCCGAACACAAAGTACCTACACAAACAGTAATGAGCGTCAATCTATAGGGGCTCCATGATAGCCTGGGCACAGTCTTCCACACCTCATGTCTACTGAGCCAAGGATTTGCTCTTGGTGTCTGCATTTTCAACATAGGCAGCTAGAATGCAATTGGATTTACATTTCTGGTACTTGCTTGTTTCAAAGTCCTTTTTATTCAAGTCACGAGATTGTTTTATGGACAGAGAGGAGGGATTTTTATGTTGTATTTTAGGATCTTGTAGTTAAGTGAAAATGGAAGTGCGGAAGCCTGACATGCTTATCTTGAGAGAGCACAAGTCTCCTTGGTCAATACACCACTCAGAATTGTTAAAGCTGGAGAATAAGTTCGAGGATTAGCAACCCTTCCACTTAAATGAGTTCATCGCATTGTCATTGCACCCGTTTTGCTGAGAAACATGTAACACTCAATAAAGAGTAACGATTGCTGTTTTATTATTGTATCGTTATCAACAGCTTAGAAGTTAGCCATCGGTCCTCACGGATCAGACTATCTTGCATTCTAGAGAAAGTGGAGAGACAGGCCCATACATATCCATGCACAAATGAGAGTAAATCCTGATGTAAAGAAAATTCATGAAAGCTGCAGTTGTGACTTGTTTAACTGTTGTTGTTCATCTTGGTGGAATAATGTTTGCCCGCCACACCTTTATCCCCCATGACTTTAAGGCAATCCCCCATGTTCTGCCCCCAGCCAGCTATTTCTTATTTTCCATTAAATCTTTCCTGAAACCCTAAGTTCTGCTCTGTAAACATTCCTAACTCCACCAGGCATTCACTAATTTCTCGTCTCTCAAGTTTGTTTCCTTTGTTCCAACATCTGGACTTCATATCTATACATCCAAGTTGCTTCTCCTGGATGACCCCTTTCAATACAGCCACTTCGAAGAGTTCACTCACCTCGTGTCTTGATGCTGGTCTCTTGGTGGCACATCTACTGTAAATCTCTGTGTGACCCACAGTTCTGTGCACAGCATAGCCATCTTACCTCCCTCTTGTCATTGAAGCTGTGCACAGCCATGAAACTTGCTCTAGGCTGGGTGGAGGAAAGAGGAGGCACATTCTTCATCTTGTAAAACTGGTTCAAATGAACAATTTCTAAGATTCTCTTTATGTCTGTAAAATAGGAATGCAAGAAATATCCACTAGCATTACTGAACCATGAAAAAATTTATGTTCCTTCCAATACAAAATCAACCACCCCATAAGAATTAGAGACAGCCATAACATTAAATTTTATTGATAGAAAGCAATACAGGCATATCAAAATCATTTACTGCAACTGTACTAAACTAATATTTTCTTAAATTTGAGACTCCTTTTAAGCCATATTTTTGTCTAAATATTTTGTCTTCCCTGGCACACGACAGATTTTCTAGATAATAAGTATTAAGAATCTAGAAAGGAAACTAGAACCAAAAGAGAGGGATAAAATTTATTATATAGTAGAATAAAAGAGAAAACATAAGAGAAAAAAATCAAGAGATTCCAGATTGCAGTAATTTCCAAGAAAGAAACAAAAAGAAAGTACAGATTTCAGAACTGACTCCCTCCTGGAAGCCATGTTGCCCCACTGAGCATCTGTTTGTCTGTGGTTGGTTATGTGCTTCCAATCTTACATTTCTTGCCTGGGAGCACATGACATTTGAACTCTTATTCCCAGGACCTCTGCTTTATCAGAGTTTCCTGGAAATCCTCCCAGAGAGTGAAATAAAAGTCAGAAAAGTCCATAGTACCATCGTTATTCCGACACGCACAAGCCTTAGATACTGAGTTGAGTTGCCAATACTGACTTCCAGGCAGCTAGGATGAGGGTCTTAAAGCCCACATCCACAGCGACACACCTACTCCAACAAGGCCATACCTCCTAATAGTGGCACTCTCTGGGCTGAGCATATACAAACCACCACAGGTACCATCCAAGGGCTTTGAGCAAAGGTGTTTTGGGTACCATTTCTGTGCCCCCAATGACAGCTCTGTGGAGATCCTGGGGATAAGGGCCGAGCAGAGGAAAAGAAGAGGTAGACCAGTTAGCACGATTTAGATGAGACTGCTTCCCTCTTCTATCAATGCCTGCTGTGTCAAACCCCAGACATTAATTTTAGTAGGCTAATAGTGACCCTAATATCGCATGGCTTTGAAAGTATTTTCTTACCTGTCACTCACTGCATGTCATTCTATTCCTCCAGCATAGGATCAACGGCCACTCATACCAACCATCTCACTGAGATGCAGCAAGTTCGACTTCATGACTGAGCAGTAGAAAGTGCTCCTAAACTAATTGTAAACTCTCAGGCTAGGGAACCCAGGAGAGTCTTCCCAACCCACTTCCAGTGTTCTCTCTCCCCACCTCTCTCTTCCTTTCATTTTCCTGAATCAAGAAGCTACCAGATCACTGCCATACCTTTAGGGATTTCCTGAACTTTGTAGGGTCACAAGCAAGATATTTAGGCACATGGTCTCAGTCCATCACAGCTTCCTTGCAGACAAGGGGCTGTGACCATTTTAAAACAGAGGAAATAAAGTGTGATTTGTTCCCCTGCCCCCAAGACATGTAGCTAATCTTGGTATTTCCAACTCTGAAGCCTGCAAATCTCTTAAGCCCCAAATTCAGCAAAATTGACAAGTAACCCTACAAGTAGAAAGCCATTCTTAAAACGTTTCTCTATAGAGATCAAAACCAGGAGTATTAACTCCTGGGTTTGGCTAGAGAGAAGGTTAAGAATCCGTTACAGCTCACGGGAACCAAGTTCCCACTCTGGCAAGTCTATCTGAGCATGTGTTCTGTGTCTTTATGCAGGGTGCTCCAAAGTTACCTGCATCAGCTTGACCCGGGAGGCCTCCATTAAACTGTCCCCCTTGCATGGCAAACAGATTTCCATCCGATACCTTGATATGACGGACTGCTTCGTGCTGGAGGACGAAGGCTTGCACACCATCGCAGCTCACTGCACGCAGCTCACACACCTCTATCTGCGCCGCTGTGTCCGCCTCACGGATGAGGGTCTCCGCTACCTGGTGATCTACTGCACTTCCATCAAAGAGCTGAGTGTCAGCGACTGCCGCTTCGTCAGTGACTTTGGCCTGCGGGAGATTGCTAAACTGGAGTCTCGCTTGAGGTACCTCAGCATCGCCCACTGCGGCCGCATCACGGATGTGGGCATTCGTTATGTGGCTAAATACTGCAGCAAATTACGCTACCTCAATGCGAGGGGCTGCGAGGGCATCACGGACCATGGTGTGGAGTACCTTGCCAAGAACTGCACAAAACTGAAGTCTCTGGACATTGGCAAATGTCCCCTGGTCTCTGACACAGGCCTGGAATCCCTGGCTTTGAACTGCTTCAATCTCAAGAGGTTAAGCCTCAAGTCCTGTGAGAGCATCACAGGCCAGGGCCTGCAGATCGTGGCTGCCAACTGCTTTGACCTACAGATGTTAAATGTCCAGGACTGTGAAGTTTCAGTAGAGGCCCTGCGGTTTGTGAAGCGCCATTGCAAGCGCTGTGTCATTGAGCATACCAATCCTGCTTTCTTCTGAAGGGACAGCTCCCATTGCACAATGAGAACCAAACGATGCTTTGTAAAAGTGTCCCATGTAAGCACCCATACCCATTCACAGCAGCTATTTTTCTTTCGGTAAGGTTCTTAGGAGTCTGGCTTTAATTTTTTTTTTATTTCTCATGAGCAAAAGATGTCAAAAAACGAAGGGGAACCCCAAATTTCTACCATGGTCAATTTTTAGATAAACGTCACAAGGGATGCACCTCAGCAGGCTTGTCACTGTGTCTCAGAAATGCCCCTTACCCCTCTTTCCCTTTCCCCTCCTGTACACAAGCCACACCCCAAGTGCCACACTCTCATCTTCTAACCCTGAAGCAGCTGCAACATTAAGCCTTGAAGAAGGCTCTCCAAAGCTGCCCCTTAAACGACTTGATGGACGTAAGCCCCACTCCTAAATCCCACACCAAGCCAATTATGGTTAAAGTAATATTAACACTCCATGTGTGCAAAGAGCTCTCCTATGTTAACACATTTCAGCAAACCCTATGGAGTAAGCGGAGACATGATTTCTCTCCCAGCTTGATCAGTAACTAGCCTTGTGAACTTGGTCAAAACACCTCACGTTTCTGAGATTTTCACCACCAGGGCTAGGGACTAGCCTCATGCCCATTTTAGAATTGAGAGATGCTCTGTTCAGAGATGCTGCTGAGCTGAGCAGTGTATAAAGCACACACGGGTGGCGCTTGTGAGAGAACTGGATATGTAAGCAAGATACGCTTTCGGGAGGTTCAGTGGGCTTACTGTAAGTCCGTACTGGGTTCTGCTCAGGTCTCCCTTTGCTCTCATCTGAGAACCAACACAACCGTACGGTGAGCTAGTCTTCTGTGCATCCTTTGCTGTGTTGGGCTCACATTCACACAAGCTTTTGCGTTTTCCCTCACCCCGCCACATCCTACTCAGAAGGGAGGGTGCCTCTCACAGGAAGCCCCTATCTCTGTCAGCTTGTATCCTCTGAGCATTTTCAAACCCAACTAAGAACCCTTATCATTTATAATAACCAAGTGAGGCCCAAGGGAACCCAGGTCCTTAAGGTTTCTCGAAACCTTCTTGATGCACGCGTGCTATGCCTCAGGCACATCTGTCCTGCCTCCAGCGGGGACAGGCACCTTGGTCCTTTGTCATCCATGTTTCATTGTGACGTCTCTCTTCTATTTATTTCTCCATCACACAAAGCCTCCTGGGGTTAAGTTTATAAATGTTTAATTGTAGGAACACCACCTGCCCGCTGTCTTCATGTTTTCTATAAGGGATGTAAAACAGACGTCCAGGTGTTTCAATATTATTCATTCAAGGTGCCAAGCACAGAGAGGAGGCAACACACTGGTGAGACAGATGCTGGCACATGCACCACGGTCCTGGAACAGAACATTAAAATCATTTCAAAATTTGAATTTTAAGTTGATGAGCTCTTAAATGGTCCCTTCTGAATAGAAGCCAACTTGCTAGTTTCATTTTTTTTTTTAAGGAATCAGCCAGAAAAAAAATGCTATTGCTTGTTTTCATGAACTCCAGTTGTCTCTTTTTAGTAAACCCAGGACTTCCCCTAAAGTATTCTCTAGCCATTTCCCTTCCCCATCACTGTGGACAGTTCACCCACATTCTTCTCAAAGTGTTTATCCCCCAACCCCAGAGCCTTTGCCAAGCGTGCTACATTTGTTACAGACCAAGCTTATACACCGCTCGACAACTGCACTCCCACTGTAGGCTCCGGTGTGTACTCTTGTCTTATGTTGGGAAGGAGAAGTTAAGTGATAAGCCAGCAATTCTCCCAGAGGTTGCTGTCATTGATCCTGTGAACTCCAGCTTCCTGTTCAGTTCACACCATCCTCAGGATCAGATGGCTGATCACGGGTGTCGGAAAAGAAAGTAAAAAGTTTAGTCCTGGGGACAGGATCTAGGGACAGCCACTGAGTTTAGAATCATAAAAGAAATTGAAGGTAGCATCCTTCTGCTCTCTGACTGTGGCTTTCACTAAACCTTGTGATTTGGAGAGTCACAATGGGTTGTCTGTAACCCTTGACACTGGGACATGCCAATTAATCTGCTTCAATACTCCCAGAATGAGCAGGGGGTCCAAAGTAGATCCCTGAGTCATTTTGAATAATTGTATCACCACTGACCGAGTACATCACCTGAACTGTCATGTGAGACCCAAGGGACGTTTCACACTTGCTGCCTGCCCAGCACATATGTCTTTCCCAGTTTCTTCCTTTCTCATCTTCTTCATACCCTCTGCTTTCTACTGGGGTGGAGGTATGGATCTGTCACAGAGGTTCTTGGGAACAGCTCAGCAGATGTTTTTGAGACCAAGCAAATGGCCTCATTAAGAACTTTATCTGTTTGGAAACATGGCTTCCTTCCTGGCTCTGCTAAACTGAATGGTATTTGTTGTTGTTGCTGTTGTTTGTTTGTCTGTTTCTCTTTAATTCTAATGTTCAAATCACGTTGTGCTGTATGCCTCTAGAAAGCCTTAATTTACTTCCACCAAGAAATAAAGCAATATGTTGGTAATCAGACTCAGTTTCATTTTTTAATAATATACCCGAGGAAGGTGCTGTTGAGATTGAGGCACTGAAATGCAAGTGAACAAGCAAGCTATAAATGAATACTTTCTGTTGAAGACAGGACACACAGATCACTGCTGCTGTTGTTCCTTTAAGGTTGGATCCAAGGTTCTGTTGTCTCCATGGACCTTAGAATGTTGCCTTTAAATTGGCAAGTAAATGAATAAAATATTATAGGTTGACCTAGGACTTCGGTTCCTCATCCAAACTCTTCCTCCCAGATTGTGGAATTCATAGCTTTGCATTTTAAATGAAGGTTCATTGGATGGACTTTGTAATACCACAGAGAGTCTGGAACAGTACTCTTAATTAAATATATTAGCATTTTGTACTAGTGGATACAGCTCAGTGCAATTAAGATTCTTAAAGATGGTAGATACCCTTATATTAGTCCATGTTGGTTTTAACGTCAATTTCTACAAAAAAATAATAAAAATATTCCCTTTTCCCAGAAATCCGTGGATTTCAGAATTATGGATGAATAACCATGGATTTGCATACATCCTGGCTCTAGCTACAAATTGTTGAGGAAATCGTCAACATCTTGCCATCTATTAATGTCTCAGAGTACTAAGATGTAGGAGAAGATATGGTTACCAGATGCAGAAGAAAATACTAGAAGTAAAATGTCAAATTGCTTGCATCCTTGCCTGAACCCTTTGAATTAAATTAATATGGGTGAAAGGAAGCAGTTGTAAGGTCTTTATCCTAAGCATCTAGGAAGATTTTAGGGGCATCATCTTATCTTTTGTAAATGTATTTGTCCTCAGACAACTTTTAAACCTGTATTGCTTTGTCAGCTGTCACTTAAACTAATAGAACTGTTAATTGCCTTGGAACATCAATTTCGATGGCTCAGTGCAATTCTTGTCAAGATTCTAGAGTAAGGCTATGAGTGAGTGAAATCTCTTCACTTTGAGACTCCTTGACTTCTTAAAGTTTCAACATTTGTTCACAATGACACAGTGCCTTCCAGATAACTTGGTGTCTTAGTCTGAGTTTCACTGCTGTCAAGAGGAATCATAACCAAGGCAACTCATACAAAAGAAAGCATCTCACTGGGGCTGGCTCCTAATTTCAGAGGTTTACTCCATTATCATCATGTCAGGAAGCATGCAGCAGTGGCACACTTCCTCCAACAAGGTCACACCTACTCCAACAAGGTCACACCTACTCCAACAAAGCCATGCCTCCTAATAGTGCCACTCTCTATGAGCCAAGCTCATTGGAACACATGAGTCTCTGAAGGCCATAGAAACCCTAACTAAGATGAGTTGTTACCAGTGTAGTAGGGTATTGGTCTGACAGACCTGACCATGCATTTTGGAGAGGATTAAGGAAGGATTCAGAACTAGTATTGAGAACTCAGTTGGATGTTCCCTAGGAGCTTGGAAGATAAGAATGTTGAGAACAGTGCAGAAGATGGAGACCTGGCTTGTGACATTTCAGAGGAAAGATTAAGGACTCTATCAGGGCTGTTTGCTATTTTGATGTAAGAGTCTATAGTTCCCATTAACTGTGGCTGAAGAATCAGCTGTGATTAAGAAAACACCAGAACTACTAAAGTGAAAACTTTGTATTACTGGGAAAATTGGTACTGGTCAGTTGGATCTAAAAATTTAGTGGCAATTAAGCAGAAACTGGCATCACTGAAGTGAAGTCTTGTGGGTAGTGTTTTCAGATAGCACCAAGAAGCTCTTTTACAGAGATAGCCAAGTGTTGGCAGCCAGACTTGGCAAAGCATAAGAGTTACTAAGGTGATACTGATTTTGAAGACATGAAGGAGTCATGGAGAGTATTTGAGGTTTGGCACTCCGAGTTTCGAGAAGGGGCCATGTAGTTGAAGGCAAAGAATTTTGAGGGGTCGTGCAAAGAATTTGAGGCTTGGTACCATGAAGAGAGCCTATGAGAAGCTATTGGTGAAAGCGCAGCCTGGTCCCAGCAAAGGACCAGTTTTGAAGATGCCACACCATAGATACGTGGATGTCCATAGTTACAGGATGACCACCAAAGACAGCAGCGATGGAGTGGATCCATCTGGACCATCTGGATCCTAGACAACAGTTGTGTGTGCTAGAGAGGGCAGAGCCAGAGAAATGACCCAAGTTCTTTGGAGGGGCCCAGAAGGTCATGAGCGATTCCCAGACATTGGATAGTTCGAGATTGATTTTGATTTGATTGTGGCTGTGCCCTGATTTTTCCCTCTTGAAAAATTTCTCCTTACTGGACCCCACAGTACAAATACTGAATTTTAAAGACTCTGGATTTTAAAAGAGATGATATTTTAAAGGAGCTGAAGTTTTAATGTGTTTGAATTTGTAAACATTGTGGGATTTTTTTTAAAGTTATTTATGTTCTTAATGTGAGATCTTGGGAATGAGTAAGAAAGGAAGGGTTGAGGATTAACAGTGATGTGTTTGTGTGTTGACAAGGTGTCCGTTGTACTGGTTGGTTTTGTGTGTAAACGTGACACAAGCTAGAGTCTTCAGAGAGGAAGGAGTCTCAATCTAGGAAATGCCTCCATGAGATCCAGCGGTAAGGCACTGTCACAATTAGAGATCAATGAGGGAGGTCCTAGCTGATGGTAGGTGGTGCCATTCCTGGGCTGACGGTCCTGGATTCTATAAGAAAGCAGGCTAAGCAAGCCATGGGGAGCAAGCCAGTAAGCAGCACCCCTCCATGGCCTCTGCATCAGCTCCTGCCTCCAGGTTCCTGCCCTGCTTGAGTTCTTGTCCTGACTTTCTTCAGAGATGAGGAACAGTGTGGAAGTGTAGGCTGAATGAACTCCTCTCCAACTCGCTTTTTGGTCATGGTGTTTTGTTGCAACAATAAAAACTCCTATTAAGACACTTGGCAAGGACAAGAAAATTCAAATCCAAATACTGAGTAATTTTAATAGGGAAATTATTTTAATGAAACTCTTATCATCTCAATGTTGTCAAAGAGAAGTTACCAAATGTACCAATACCTGGCCATCATGATCATTCAAGGTAATTAAAAAAAAAAGCATGGAGAAGAAATATTTAAATATAGTACAATGAAAATACACCAAAAACCTGTTTTCCTCTTGCATTGATTTCAGTCATTTTTTCAGTCATTGTACATTAGGGTTTGATATATATGTGGGAGATTCTTCTTCAGTGGGGAGAAATGCCCTAAGCAGGGAGCATGAGTCACTTTTTACAGTAAATGCTGATGTCATCACTAAGTCCTGCTGCCTACAGAGCGGCCTGGGCTTGCTTCACTAGTATAGCCACCAGGATAGCCCAGTATATCTACTCCTTTATCTCTTCAGTAAAACATCATTTCCTTGGGCCATAGGTTCATCTTCTTAGGACCCCTTTCTCATCTCCACTTAACAGACCAGGTTGCATTCTAGCTACAAGAGATGAAGTAACTCGGAAGTTATGCAGGGTTCAAGATAAAACAGATGTGAATCTGCCTTGAAAGTCTAGGAAATAGCCATATCTTAGATGTCAATCTCATTGACTAGTCAGAAAAACTTAGCTTTCTGCTTTGAGTGGTATTCAAGGGTTTAGGACTGAATGCCATCCAGTATCTGAGGGTAGCTGTGATGGTTATATTGTCCTAAGTTTCTGACCCAGATATTAAACAAGTAATTTATGTGTTGTGAAATATTTGTCTTTGTAGCTGCTCAGCTCCTGAACTTTATACTGGTGATATCGGTACAGGCAAATTCTATCCTATAATACATGCTAATTAATATGTGATAATGGACACCAAAGATTTCGGTCATTTTTTTTCTCATGAGCCAAAAAGTGCTGGTGATATAAAAGAGTTAATTAACCATTTACTGATCATCTGCCATACATCAGATACCATTACCATCGGTGGGAGAATGAGTATAACACGATCTAAAGTCACCCAGATCAAATGACAACAAAGCAACATAAGAACAACAATATGGACAGCCATGCTGACCTGGCCGGCGGTATGTGCCCAAAGTGGCACACCTGCTTGGGGATGTAACCGACTCTTTCTGTCTAGATGTGATGCCTGCTTCCCAGAATGGACTAGCCAGTCCTGTAAGCCTGGTCAAAATCTTAAAGCTTGGAAAGAGGACGGAATTAAAGACTCTAAGGGAAACATGCTACTGTAGTCAAGCTGTCTCCTCTATGTTTATATTCATAGCCTAGCATGACTCTCAGCTGGGGTCAGAAATACTTCTTTTTGTGGAGGATAATGATTATTGCAAAGACAACTGATTAAAGTGCTAAGAATAAACAGCAGTTGAGTGGTCAGCTCCAAATAAGCTATGTGCATTAGCCTTTTAAAGACCCAGGGAACAGTACATAAAAGTAGAAAGAAAGAAGTGAAGACCAAGCAGACAGAAGCTAGCAGTGGAAACACTCTCTGCTGCATAAGGTATGGCCATCACAATCATGAACACACAGCAGGTGTCACTACCTGTACAAGACCTGTGCATGTGTGCACACGCACATGCACGCACACACGCGTGCAGGTGCACACACACAGAGACATGCACAATGAACACACACTCAGGTGCATGCACACCTGTACATGTGTATTTGGGAGATTTTACTATGTCACAGAGATAAATTAATGCTTTGAAATATTTCCCCTCTCAGTGGGCTCCATGAATGATATTTTGGACCTCCAGCAATTTCCCATTTTGCTACTGTGTCATACCCATCTTATCAGAATGGCAAACACACCCCAAGTGTCTGTTTCTCTAAGAGGCCCCTAATAATTGTATGTCTCTCTTATAACATTATTTTAGTAAATTCTATCAGAGCCAGACTCTCGATGGCAGAGCACAAGCGTCTCTCAATAAATCTTTGTTGAATTGATGAATGAATATTGTTATGATTTTCCATTTAACTCTGTGACTCTAAGTTTTTAAATGTTTTAATTTTTTGCCATTCTTTTCCAGATATATAGGACATACTCTGATCATATTTAGAC